GATCCTGGGACCATCAATGGAGAGGAGCGGAGAGCGGGATCGTGCCCAGGGGGGCAGTGAGGCCTGAGATGGAGGCAGAGAAGACGATGTCAAGAGATGGAGTGGCTGGGGACTTGGGATCCAGAGAGGGAGAGAGGGACTGAGGACTGGGAGGGCGGGGGGGCGGGGGAGCGTGTGCAGGCTTGCAGGGTACACACTTTGGTTGGGTGAGGATGCATGGACGGGATGGTAGCTATGTCAGTGAGACAATAGATGTTAGAATGAATGTGGAGCTGATGTTCTCCCATGTAGACTATCATACAATTCACAATAAAACATTTATTTAATAATGATAATAATAATAATAAATGAGCCTGCTGTATTTGGATGGTTGGAACTGCATCTGCCTTAGCAGGGCCAGACTAAATGATTTCGTGGGCCTTAATATGGATGGTGGGCTGGACATTGACCACACCTGCTATGCAGGGTCCCTGTGAGTCAGAACCAACTTGACAGCCCTTAACAACAATAACAATGTTGAGGCTTTCTGTTCCCACGAAGATTCAGTGCCTCAGAAATATTGTTGTTTTGTTGTTGTTGTTAAGTGCCGTTGAGTCGCTTCCAACCCATAGCGATCTTGTATAGGGTTTCCAGGGAGCAGCTGGTGAACTTGAACCACTGACCTGTGGTTCACACAACTTTGCAGTCCAGCACATTAACCCACAGAGCCACACCTGGACTTCTTGGAAACCCTGTATAGATAGAGTAGGCTGTGTGTCAGAGCAGGCACTTAACAGCAACTTATAAATGACAATAGAGAGAAAAACCATAAAGTATACTTTGTAGGTAAAGAGCTCTGGTAGCGTAGTGGTTACGAATTGGGCTGCAAACCTTAAGGTCAGTAGTTTGAAACTACCAGCTCTTCCATGGGAGAACAACGGGGCTTTCTGCTCCCGTAAAGATTTACAGCCTCAGAAACCCTGTACAGGGTCGCTATGGGTCGGAATCGACTCAACAGCACTTAACAACATACTTTGTACATAGTTCGTAAATAATAGATTATAAAAGTAAAATTTCCAAACTTTCCAAGCACTATATGTGAAATTGTGTATTTTTACTTCAGCTTTTTACAGTTGTACTTTCGTATAGTAGTAGAATTGTAATTTGCCACTGTGAAGGAAGATACAAGTTTTAGATGTTTTTAATGTTTGTAACAATCTTTTCTACAACCTAAGTTCAAAACTGCACACTCAGTTTTTCTACCATGTTTGGGAGAACCATCACGGCATGATTGTTTATAGCTAAATCAAAGTTATGATGAACACAAGGACATTTTATAGACTATTTTGCTACTTGGGTGGGTTAACTAGTGGCTACAGAATAGATTGACACATGGCATTTATGAAGCAGGCCAGTTAATTAGAGTGGTGTTATTGTTAAGTGCTGTTGAGTCAGTTCTGACTCATAGTGACCCTGTGTATGGTTTCTGAGGAGCTGCTGGTGAGTTTGAACTGTTGACCTTGAGGTTCAAACAGACCTTATGGTCAAGTGCTTATACTAAAGTGCCACACCACGATTACTAATTAATGTGTTAGCTGGACAATAACAAAAGTTTATAATAAAGATGTTACAAAATTTTTTACAAAATTTACTGAGAATTACCACACCATTTAGAACACATAGGGGAGTTCCAAAAATTCATGGAAAAAAATGCCTTTATCTTTTCAATTTTCCTATGAACTTGTTGAAGCACCATTGTATTTGCCTTGCTTTTCAGACCTGTGTATATACCCCACTTAATTGTAGAGTTGCACACAGTTGTTGCTGTTGTTTTCTTAGTGCCATTTAATCGGTTGTGACACAGAGCGACCCTGAATATGGTTTTGAAGGCTGCAAGCAATCATTGCAGGAGCAAGAAGCCTCATATTTCTCCTGTGGAGCAGCTAGTAGACTCAAACCACTGACTTTGCTGTTTGCAGTCCACTGCTTATCTCACAGAGCCACTGTGCTCCATTTATGGAACTTGCACACAGCTGCTAACTTAGGAACATTGAAGACACGAGAACTTTGGGGATGGGGGATTCAGAGTACATTGTCTTAAAAACTTCTAATTTATTAGCCTGGATTGCTGTCCATACAATTCTGAGTTCCATATGTGGATTTGTTTTGAAAATTGTTATAGTAAACCACACTAAAATTTATTTGTAATTTGCCAAATTTAACAAATTACAGTCTAATGAATTAAATAGGTCAAAAAGTTCAGTGTGTGGGATGAATGTGTAACTATTAATAGATAATTAGAGCAATATATGACTGGTCATCTACTTTTCTTTCTCTCTCCTCCACCTCCCAATTTTATTCTATTTTACTTTGGAGTAATCTTACAGTAACACAAAAGTTGATGTTACCAGAGTATCTGTCTTCTTTACTCAGTTTTCCCTAATGTTAACCTATAACTGTGATATATTTGTCAAAATTCAAATCAACATTGGTACATTTATATTTAACTGAACTCCAGACACTGTCATTAATACCCAATCCCAGAAACATTGAATATAGTTAATCAATTTTCATTTTTCTTGGGTCAACTATCAACACTCATGGAAGCAGCCGTCAAGAAATCAGATGACTTATTGCATTAGGCAAATCTGCTGCACAAGACCTTTTTAAAGTGTTGAAGAGCAAAGATGTCAGCTTGAGAACTGAGCCAAGCTCAGAAGGTGCGCCTGAGCCAAGCTATGGTATTTTCAATAACCTCACATGCATGCGAAAGCTGGACAGTGAATAAGGAAGACCATAGAAGAATTGATGCTTTTCAGTTATGGTGTTGGAGGAAGATATTGAAAGTGCCACGGGCTGCCAAAAGAACCAATAGATCCATTTTGGAAGAAGTGCAGCCAGCGTGCTCCTTGGAGGCCAAGATGGCCAAACTTCGTCTCTCATACTTCGGACATATTGTCAGGAGGGACCAGTTGCTGGAGAAGGCTAGCATGTTTGGTAAGGTGGAGGGTCAGAGGAAAAGAGGAAGACCCCCAACAAGATGGATTGGCCAAGTGGCAGCATCGATGGACTCAAGCGTGGTAACAGTAGTGAGGTTGGCCCAGGATTGGGCGTGTTTTGTTCTGCTGTGTGTAAGGTCGCTGTGAGTCAGTACCGACTCGATGGCACCTAACAACAACAACTAATTTTTAATACCCTGGCAGCACAGTAGATTAAGCATTCAGTTGCTAACTGCTGACTGGTGGTTCAAGCCCACCAACAGGTACCAATTATTTTGCAATCAAAGGTGATTTTGTTAAGTGCCGTCGAACTGGTTCCAACTCACATGGTGACCCTGTATAGCATTGTAAATCTTTGGGAGCAGAAGCCTATTCTTTGTCCCAAAGAGCAGCTGGTGACTGGAACCACTGACCTTGTGGTTCACTGTTCAGTGCTTATCCTACAGTGCCACCATGCTCCTTAAAAGAACTCTGGTAGCGTAGTGGTTATGAATCGGCTGCTAATCTCACGGTCAGCAGTTAGAAACTACCTGCTGTTCCATGGGAGAAAGATGAGCCTTTCTGCTCCCGTAATGATTTACAGCCTCGGAAACTCTACATGGTCACTATGAGTTGAATCCAACTCCATGACACATAACAACAACAACAATGCCCAAAAGTTAGAATATGGAGAAGGAGATTGGAGACAGAAGAGGTTCTGTTAGAAAACACCTAGCCCTCAACAGCTTTTCAGGTAATTTGCTAGTTTTGTTAAGACTTGATTGGAAAATTGAGTTGGGTGCGTAATCCTGGAGAGTTAATAATGCAACTAAGCAATCCATTAAGGAGCTCTGGTAGTGTAGTGGTTACAAATTGGGCGGCTAATCTCAAGGTCAGCAGTTTGAAACTATCAGCGCGGTTCCACAGGAGAAAGATGACACTTTCTGTTCCTCGGAAACCCTATACAGGGTCATTGTGAGTTAGAACCAACTCCATGGCACATAACCACCAACAACAAGCAATCCATTGCAGTTTTATAGCTAGTATGACCCTTGAAAACCTATGTATGCCTCAAGACAACCGATACAGTTGTCTGCCGTTCCTGGGTTCTACCTGAAATGCCACATCTTTTTTAGGAAGGGTTTCCATTAACATTCTAGTTAATGATCTGTGATGATCTAGGTGGGTTGAATACTCCTTTGTTTTAAGGTGCATTGGTTGTGCAATGAGTAAAGCATTTGGCTGCTAACCCAGAGGTCATTGGTTTGAACCCACCAGCCCCACTCCATGAGAGAAAGATGAGGTAGTTTGCTTCTGTAACAATTTTTACAACCTTGAAACAATTCTACTCTGTCCTGTTACGGTCACTATGAATCTGAATCTACTTGAAGGCAGTTTATCTATTTTATGTAAGTGTTGTTTTATCCAGATAACTCTCATTAAAGAAAATATATTGACCTAAGCAACAGAAATGGAGTGATGGTTGTGGCACTGCAGTTTAACGTGCTGGACTGCAAGGTCAGTGGTTCAAGCTTACCGTTCGCTCCTTGGAAACCCTATACAGGATCGCTGTGGGTCAGAACTGACTCAGCGGCATTTACCAACAGCAAGCTACAAAAATACAGCAGTAGGATGTAGTTGAGTGTAATTTAAAATTATACTGAAGTCATACTTAAATAAAACCACCTCAGCTGGATTCTTACCTGAGAATTACTGTTTAACTGAGTAATTTAACTGATGATGGGTGAGTGTAGTGAAATTTCTCAAGTGGTTTGGAGTATTAAAACTGCTTATTGTACGTTGCTATACCCAATATTTGTTACATTAATTTTTTTGATAATTTTTGAAAAGATTTCAGTTTTCATTTGATATTATTTACTATGCATCCCCCATTTCAACATATATATTTTTTAAAGGTGTTTAATTTGAGCTGGTTACATACACTTTTTTTTTCTCTTTTACATTTTAGAGTAAATTAAACACCTATGCATATGCAGTAGTCTGAAAAACTTACTCAGTTTCTTGATTTTGTTGCATTGGCAGAGTGAAGATAGTCCAAGTCCCAAGAGACAGCGCCTCTCTCATTCAGTCTTTGATTATACATCAGCATCACCAACTCCCTCACCACCAATGCGACCATGGGAGATGACATCAAATAGGCAGCCCCCTTCAGTTCGACCAAGCCAACATCACTTCTCAGGGGAACGATGCAACACACCTGCACGCAACAGAAGAAGGTTAGTTGTTACAACTTAAAATTTTCTTAAAATGATAGCTTGGTAGCATCAGAATGCATTTTTCTATAGTTAGTTTATATACACATCAACATATACAAGGGGGCTTCAGAAAGCATGTCGGAAAATTCCATTATCTTTTAACTCCATTTTTCTGTGAACTTTTTGAAGCCCCACTGGCATGTGCATGTACAATTATACGCAAGATATAACATTGCAAGTTATTTAGGCTCTCACACTGGATCACAAAGGTTCATTTAGCTCCTAATTGGCAGCTGTAGAAATTGAAAGAGGAGGCTAAAGTGATTTATCAATAGTCAATCCTTTGCCATAGATTTGTAACTAGAGGCAGTCCCTGGGTTACAAATGAAATCTGTTCTAGCTGCATCTTTTAAGTCATTAGGTTGAAACTTGTAGGTGAATCAGAGCAGATGCTTTCCATCATGATTTAGCCTTTTCAATGATTTAAAAATTGCATGTGCAACAAATGAATGTGATTGTAATGGCATTGGTTCAAAGAGGACAAAACTTAAATTAATATTAAAGGACAAGTAGGAGAGTTGTCTATAAGTTGGACATTTGTAACTCTGGGGATTGCATGTACATAAGACTTTTTGTGAGCTAGTTTGTAATCCTGATTACTGGAAAATGCATTCTGTAGTTCACAACTCTTAACTATTTAGTTCAGCATCTAGTCCTTTCTTCCTTAGGACTTGGTCCTTGACTTTCCTTCCTTAAAGGAATATTTTTTACTTCTGAGCTTCCTGCCTTTAGTCATTGGCTTCAGTCATACACTTCTTACTCCAGGGAAAGAGTACTTTCTTGGGATGAGACAACTGTTTGCATATCTGAAATATTCATAGTCTGAGGACTATGGACATAACCTTTTCATGTTGGAGTTAAGAAGGAATAAATAAAACCACCATTATTTGTTCCAAATGAGACAGATAAACCCATTTCTTGAGCTGTATTCTGTTGAGACACTAAGACTTTTATGTTACCTTTTACCTTTTTACCCAATTAAATGGGAATGCTTAAGTAAAATAATGTATATCAACCAATTAAAATATTTTATTGTTAATTATAATGAGCATAGAGAAGAAAATAAGATTGTTTGGTTTGAGCTTATAGTCTAAACTTCTGCAGTAGCCATTCTCTGTTGTTTCATTTTAAAATGTGTCATATAGTTATGTTGTTGTTGTTATGTGCCGTGGAGTCGGTTCCGACTCATAGCGACCCTGCACAGGGTTTTCAAGGCTGTAAATCTTTACGGGAGCAGAACGCCTCATCTTGCTCACACGGAGCAGCTGGTAGTTTCAAACGCTGACCTTGAGGTTCACAGTCCAATTCGTAACCACTATGCTACCAGAGCTCCTTATTAGTCATATGAGCATGTAAAACAAATATACAGTTAAAATAACAAAGCAATCACATGCACATAACACACAGGTAAATATTGAACATTGTCACTCTTCCAATATCCCTGTTATGCTCCTGCCTGTTCCAGTCTCTTCCTTTCTTTCTTCCTAAAGTGAAAACCTTGTTATTTTCATTTTAAATGTGCTTTGACTTTTTAATTCTATTTTTAATGTGTTTCAGTGAAATAATATTTTTAAAATATGTATAGATAAGGAAATGTAGGTGTGTACATATAATGAGTTAGTCTACATAGATACATTTCCTTACTGCTTGTTTAGAGAGCCTTTAAGCCACGGTGCAATAGCAGTGAACAGGCTAAGCAGCCTGATCCTTGTTTCTGAGTGCCATTCTGCATTAAAAGGAACCCAGGGTTCTTTGGAGAACTGCTTGATTGCTAGACTGGAGCAGAATGTATAACAAGGTGTGAGCCTGGAGCATATTATGGTGCCAGATGTTAAAAAGGATGAGGATGTATTGAAATGGCAGAAAAGCCAAACAGAAGGAACCAAAATTGAAATAATTTTAACAACAAAATAAAATGCATGGATTATAACTCAAAAGAGAAAATAGATATCCTTGAGTTCTTACCGTTTGTAGATAATTGATTAAATAAATAAATTGGCACAGAGAGAAGTGAGTTAATCTTTATAGAAGAATTTCAATGAATAAATACAGAAGAAATGAGGGAAATAGAAAATCACTGATGAAATACCACAGTAGTGATTGCTGCAGATGCACCCAGATATGCTAAAATTAGCGGGCAAGACTTCAAATAGAAGGAGGATGCTTGCGTAATTTCCAAGTGTCTCCCCCAAATATATGGTAATTACAAAGGGAAGCCCTGGCAGCGTAGTGGTTACGAATTGGGCTGTGACCCTCAAGGTCGGCAGTTCGAAACTACCAGCCATTCCGTAGGAGACAGATGAGGGTTGTTTCTGCTCCCATAAAGATTTACAGCCTCGGAAACCCTATACAGGGTCGCTATGAGTCAGAACCAACTCCACGGCACATAACAACAACAACAAAGGGAAGTATCCAGACTTTGTAGTGGAGGATCTTGGCAGATGCCATCCTAAGCAAATGGTCAGTTTAATCTCACCAGTGACACATAACAACATTATGTGCCCTTGACATGATCTGTTGCGAACAGCACATCTGGATTGGGATCGCAGTATATGTGTAAATTGCTTTGGACATTATTGACATTTTCACAATGTTAAGTGTTCCTATCCACTAGCATGGTACATTCTTCGATTTTTGTAAGTCTCTTTTGGTTTCTTGTAGTAGTATTTTATAGTTTCTTTGTATAAGTCCTTTGTTTCTCTGGTTACATTTATTCCTAGATATTTCATCCTTTGGGTGGATATTGTGTGAATGGTATTGCTTTCCTAGTGTCCTTTTCAACGCTGTCGTTTTTGGTATAGAGGAATCCAACTGATTTTTATATGTTGATCTTATACCCTGCCACTTTGCTGAATCTTCCAATGAGGTCTAGTAGCTTTTTTACTGAGTCTCTGGGGTTTTCTACATAGAGGATCATATCTTTGCAAATAGGGAGAGTTTTACTTCCTCTTTGCCAATTTGTTGTTGTTGTTGTTAAGTGCCATCGAGTCGGGTCCGACCCATAGCGACCCTGTACAGGGTTTCCGAGGGTGCTTTGCCAATTTGGATCCCTTTAATTTCCCTGTCTTGCCGTATAGCTCTTGTTAAGACTTCCAGCACAATATTGAATAGGAGTGGTGACAAAGGGCATCCTTGTCTGGTTCATGTTCGCAGAGGGAAGGCTTTCTGTTTCTCTCCATTGAGAGTAATGTAGACTATTGGTTTTGTATATATGCTCTTTATTATGTTGAGGAATTTCCCTTCAATTCCTATTTTGTTGAGTGTTTTTATCAGGAATGGATTTTGGATTTTGTCAAATGCCTTTTCTGTATCAATCGATATGCTCATGTGGTTCTTTTCTTTTTTCTTATTTATATGGTG